TTTCTTCAGATCACGAGTCATCCAAACTCTGCTAATATCTTGACATATTTGGAAGTGTTTTTCAGAATAATGTGGTTTAAAGAGGAATTTAGGTAGAGGAAGTAAAATATAAACTGTGTTGCAAGCCTCATAACAAGTGCTTTTGGTATGAAATTAGTAGGGCAGACTTCTCTGAATCCAACTCACCCAAAAGGACATGCTCACTTTCTTAGTTTTCTGTATGTCCAAATTATTTAGTTTCCCTTCTAAAATTCTTTCCTCATTGGAAGAAGTTCCACAAGCAAGAAAGTCAGGTGGGTTTATTTAGGTGATCTGTGTCTAGACAGGCCTTCCTCATATGTGGAATGACTGGGAGGTGGTGGAAGGCATTTCTGCCTAAAAGTTGCTTCTGCCTACTGTCCATTGTGTGTGCTTAAAAATCCAGCCACACATCCAGAGATGACCTCTGACAACATGTCGATCATCTGTGAAAGCTAAACATTAGCAATTGCAGTAAGAAACTATGTTGAGGGGAGGGTGAAGATGAAGTGGTCTCTGAGATTGGGAGGCTGCCAGGGCTGGGGAATGAAGGAGAATGCACAGGAACAGCACTCCAGTCACATGGTTGCTCAGCCCTGTGCTGCGGTACCTTTGCCCTGGGGACAAATAGGAACCACTAGACTAATCAAGATTTTATTAAAAACTTAGTAAATTGTAAGTCTGTCTTTAAAAGGGTATGATGAAATAAAAATTTAGGAAGTCATTTCTAAGGAGTCTGGGAATATGGTCGGAGTGGAGAAGGCATACTTGGGACTTCAAAAATATCAATTAGCAACAACTTATTTTTTATTTTTTTTTAAAGATTTATTTATTTATTCATACAGAACTGGGATACAGGCCAGAGATGCGGAGGGTGAAAGGATTCACCAGAGACAGAGTGGGGAGCAGAACAGTCAGGTCGACGAAGTACACTGCTGAGGGGAGCAGCGGGCGGGCCAGGAGAGGAATGCCACGCCATGCGGTCACTTCCGGGGCAGGCAGGGATCGAACCCATGCAGAAGTGGCTTTAGCTTCTCAGTGCTGTGCTTTAACCCGCTGCGCCACCAGGGAGGGCCAGCAACAACTTATTTTTTAAGTCGGTTGTATTTATATGGATGTCATTTAATTATTTCATGCATTTTGTTTACTTCTTTAAACAGTGAAGTACTTAATTATATATGAATGTATGGGTATATGTACATGTGTAAAAGAGAGAGCACTTCTGACTCATATATATTTTTTCATGATATGCAAAGCAGTATGCTAGAGGAGAGTGTCATGGACCTCAAAGTGACATAGCTGTGTAGTAGAGTGGCAACAGGTCATTTGGAGGTGTCATAATACTAATTTTTTCCAGAGCCACATTAGCTATTACTAGTGCTATTCTAACTCATATATATGTATATGTGTGTGTGTGTGTGTGTGTGTATTTAAAGAACAGTTTTATTTAAAAAAAAAAAAAGGCACCCAAACTTATACCTCTAAGATAGATATAGTATTGTGAATTAATATTGTGAATTAATAATAAAAAAAAGGTACCCATGCCGGGGTGGGTGAGGGAAGATAATAATGAACAACTATATACCAGAGACATTTTATGGGGGTGGAGTGGGGAATGGATCAAAAATGGGGAGAGGGAATTGCACTGGACTATGGTGATGGCACATGGGTGAATTGGTGATGGGAAACCCATGGGGATTACAACTGAGATGGAAAAAGGCACAAGATGATGTAAAATAAACTATTATAATAATAACAAAGAAAGAAAGAAGAAAGAAATGTACCTGCATAATCATAGGTAGGCAAGCTGCTTTATATCATATTAAAGAACAAAAAAAAATCAAGAAACCATAGTAAAAATATAAAAGGGAAGAAATGACCATGTACAGGAGTGGTGAATGCATTTTACAATTTATCTAGATGTGAATTTTTTTTGATGTGACATTTTAATCGATTTTATTAATATACAATAGAAGCACCATAAAATTAACTAATTTTTTAAAAAAGATTTATTTATTTATTCATACAGAACTGGGGTACAGGCCAGAGATGCGGAGGGTGAGAGGATTCACCAGGGACAGAGTGGGGAGCAGAACAGGCAGATCAACGAAGTACACTGCTGAGGGGAGCAGCGGGCGGGTCAGGAGAGGTCTGCCACACCATGTGGATCTCCTCCAGGGCAGGCGGGGATCGAACTCATGCGGAAGTGGCTTTGGCTTCTTAGTGCTGTGCTTTAACCCGCTGCGCCACCAGGGAGGGCCCAAAAATTAACTAATTTTAAGAGTACAGTTTGCTGAGTTTTGTTGATACTTAAAAGTTGTATATTCACATCCAGAATCTAGGTATTGAACATTTCCATCATTGAATATGTTTTTAGTAATAGTCAAGATGTATATGTTTTTGTTTTGTATATGGACTGTTCCAGCACCATTTGTTGAAGAGATGGTCCTTTTTATCGTATAAAATCACTTGATCGCTTTTGACCAGAACCTCCATCTTTCAGTAAATTGCCCAAATGGCCAACACAAAGGAAAAAGGGAGAGGCACCTGCTATGTGTTCTTTAGGCCTTTAAGAAAACATGGAGTTGTTCTTTTGGTTACATACACCCAAATCTACAAGAAAGAGATATTGTAGACACCAGGAGGAAGGGGACTGTTCAAAAAGGAATGCTCTTGCTAATACATGTTACTATGACAAAACTAAGAGTCTACAATGTCATCCAGCATGCAGTTAGCATTGTTGCAAACAAAGGGCAACAATCTGGTCAAGAGAATTATCTTTGTATTGAGCATATTAAGTACCCTAAGAGCCCATGTATTTTTCTGAACTTTCTGAACTGTATGAAAGAAAGTGATCAGGAGAAAAGGAAGCCAAAGAGAAAGGGACTTGGGTTCAACCGAAGCACCAGCCCGTTCCACCCAGAGAGGCACCCTGGTGAGGACCAATGGAAGGGACCCTGAGCTGCCGGAACCCCTTCCCATGAATTCGTGGCATGATAAAAAAAAAAATCTCTTAATCATATGTGTGTAGGTCTATTACTAAAATCTTTGGTCTGCTTCAGTCTTCTGCTTACTTCTACATGCCATTATTTTACTTTCTTGATTACTATAACTTTATTTAATATCTTGAAATCACATGGTGTATATTTTTCCACTTCGTTCTTTTTTAAATGTTTTAGCTAACTTGAATCCTTTACACTACTCTATAAATTTACATGCAACTTGTCAATTTCTATAGGAAAACTGCTAGGATTTTGACAGAAATAATGTTGAATCTGTGCATCAATTTAGAGAGAATTGACATGTTAGCAGTAGTGAGTTATTTGATCCATGAATGTGGTATATATCTCCCATTTTTTAGGTCTTTTAATTTTTCTTAATAATGTTTTCTAATTGTGTTTAGGTCTTACACAAATTTTTGTTAAATTTATTCTTAGGCATATTTCTATGCAGTTGTAAATGGTATATTTAAATATTTTTAAATTCTTATTACTTGTATATAGAAATACAATAACCTTTAAAAATATTAATATTTTATTCTGTGATCTTGCTAAACTCACCTATCAGTTCTAGTAACTTTTTTTTTTCAGTTCTAGTAACTTTTAAATAGATTCCCTAGAATTTTCTTTTTAAGATTTCACTTATTTATGCATACAAAACTGAGGTACAGGCCAGAGGCACAGGAGTCGTGAGAGAATTCACCAGAGAATTCACAGAGTGGGGAGCAGAACAGGCAGAATGATAAAGCACACTGCTGATGGGAGCAGCGGGCAGGTCAGGATAGGTCTGCGGGGCAAACATGGATCACCCCCAGGGTGGGGGATCAAACTTCCACTGAGGCAGCCACCGGCCAGCTTCGCAGTGCTGTGCTCCAACCCACTGCGTCACCAGGGAGGCCCTCCTTAGCATTTCCTACACAGATAATCATGTTACCTGTGAATGACAAACTTACTTCATTCCTATCTATATGGCCTTTACTTCTTTTTATTTTTTTATTGCACTGTTTTCAGTGTTTCACCTGTACAATGTTGAATGAAAGTAGTGACAGTTAACATCTTTAAAATGTTATCTTTTACAGTGAAAGGATAACATTTTAAAAGTTTTTTCTGCACAGAATAGAAATAATCACTGACTGTATTAGAGATATAAGCAAAATATGATAGGATGGGAAGTGTATATGTAAATGGGGGTTGGCAGAAAAGGGAGCAATTCAATATCATTCACTGGGGACTATTTATGAGACAACGTTTTAAAACAAGTTCTTGGCTTTTCTTCATCTGAGCTTGGGAGATGACAGATGTTTGGTCTGCTTGCCCCATCCTACCCTAAGCTAAGGAGGCTCCCCTATCGTGTGCATCCAGCAGCAGCAGTATCATAACTCCCTTTGTTGATTCTAGGACATTGCCATCTCCCTGCATGATGGCATGCTCACGGACCTGCTCCCGAATTCTGGGGCTGAGCCTTGGGACGACAGCCCTGTTTGCTGCTGGGGCCAACATGGTGCTCCTCTTTCCTAACTGGGATGTGACCTATCTGTTGAGGGGCCTCATTGGCAAGCATGCAATGCTGGGGTCTGGACTCTGGGGTGGTGGCCTCATGGTAAGTGTCTTGGGATCACTGAGTGTGAACTCCCGAAGTTGAAGCAAGTGGTTGGTGGGGAGAGTATTTAGATTCATTACAAAAGAGTGTGATTTTTAGAAGCTGGTCTTGGGTTGGTAGCAACTCCAAGACATAGGAATCTCTAAGAAACTTGTGAGGATTGCTGGACTGTATCTGGGATGAGGCATGTTGGATGTAAACATTGCCATATAGATTCAAATCATGCTGGTGATCCAAAATTGGGTCCTGACAGTCAAAGGCAAATTTTTGGAGAAAGATAACATAATCAAGAATGTGCCCAAACATGATATTTCAGCAGCCATTGGTGGCAGTTAAAAATATGCCATCCAATCTTTTCTTAACACTTTTTTCTTTTCTCCCAGGTACTCATTGCAGCTATCTTCATCTCCTTGAAGGGCTGGAGATATGGCTGCTTCAGTAGGAGTGGACCCTGCCAAAGTGTAAGGACCAGAGTCCATTCTTTTATCACCGACCATATCCCCACATTCTATTACTTTAGAGACAGAATGGTAAAAGGACAATTTCAGTCTTGGAATTTGAAGTCATGTCCTGCCCTGCTGGTACCTCTTAATAGTCCTACGCTCTTGGGCAATTTACTTAAGCTTTCTGAACTTCAGGCACCCTTTCCACCCACACTCCTCCCTGCTTCCTCCTTTCCTTTCATGCTCAATTTGAGAAAGAAGAATCAGGGATAGGAGATTGGAAATTTTGAAAACACAATTTTCCCTTGAAAGGGTCAGAAGTAGACTAATACGACCCTTTAATCCAAGGGTGAATGACGATAACCTGAAAGTAAAGGCTTTTAATTCCAACTGGCTCAGCTAGAAGAATCTGCTGAGTCAGGGAAATTCAGATCCAAGTGCCAGTGTGTAAACCCTTATCCATCCTCACCCATCCCTTCCTAACTCTACCCTGTGAGCCCTATTAGACATCCTACCTTGGCTGTATTTTAAAGAAGGGACCATGAGAGGATTATCCCTATGTGATATGATGGGGGAAGCCGAACACTGAGAAGCTAGACTTATCCAAGTCACTCCTTAAGTCACCTAGTCAAGACCTCATCTCAGGTGGTTTCTTCTTTCCCTCTACAGATGCTTACTGTTCTGTTGTCAAGTGGCCTGGCCTTCCTCGGAGCCTTCATTTGCTTTATCACTTCTGGAGGAGCCCTAAAATATGGTCCTTTTTGCATGTTCCATGATGTCTCCCCCTTCAATCAGACACAAACATGGAAATATGGTTATCCTTTCAAAGACTTACATAACAGGTAAATGGATAGCGATTTGGATTTGTAGTCTTTTTAGAGAGAGAAAGACACACAGAAGAACTACAGACTTCTTTTGATCATGTATTCTAACACTTTGTTCCTCTGATACTCAGAAACTTGCAAATACATTGATGGTCACTCTTAAGAGGCTAGTCTTATGACCTGAGCTGGGAGGAGGTGCCAAATTTCTATTTAGGTTGCTCATTTCACTTTTCCTACTCATTTTTTCATCCTTCAAACCCCTTATTTTTTGGAATAGGAATTACTTATATGATCGTTCACTCTGGAACTCTGTCTGCCTGGAGCCCTCTAAAGCTGTCATTTGGCACGTGTCCTTCTTCTCCTCCCTTCTGTGCATCAGCCTCCTCCAGATATTCCTGGTGATCATTCATTTCATCAACAGCTTCCTGGGCCTTTTCTGCAGCTTCTGTAAGGAGTCAGGTAACACCCTCTTATGCACAGATGTTTCCCTCATAGGCTTCCTTGAAGCCTTCTGCAAGTAGTGAGTATGAATTATAAACAAACTTCCCTTTAGGTCTTCTAGAGAATAATGACAATAATAAGTGCTTGTATTATGTTGAATGATATAAAAGTACTTTAAATCACATTGAAAACAGCAAGATGATACTATTGTGGAGGAATGTATAGTCCATCAAATGTCCTCTGTCATCTCATTTTAGCCATAAAATTGGCCACATGCTACAGATTGAGAAATTGAGACTCCTTGAGGATAGCGATTTGCTGCCCAAAGGTACTCAGTTAGGCTAAGGTAATGTCAGGACTTGAGCCATATGGACTGAGTGTTATATGCATTCCTGAAATTCACAGGTTGAATCTCTAAATCCCAATGTCACTTTATTTGGAAATAGGTAGGAAATTTCTGGAACTAACTGAGGTTAAATGGAGTCGTAAGGGTGGAACCCTAATCCAGTAGGATTGGCTTCTTGTAAGAAGAGGATAAGGTAGCATGTCTCTTTCCACACAATCAGAGGAGCAGGCCACGTGAGGACACAGAAGGTGGCCATCTACAAGCTGAGAAGAGAGGCCTCAGTAGAAACTAACCTTGTTGGCATGTTGATCTTGGACCTCCAGCTTCCAGAAAATAAATTTCTGTTGTGCAAGAGGCTCAGTCTGTAGTATTTTGCTATGGAAGAGTGAGTTGACTAATCCTCCAGTGTTCTTTTCATTCATGTTCAGTGCAGTTCAGTAAGTGGTGTACATTGATTACCCACATGTTCAGGGCCATGTCAACACACAGTGCAATGAGAGTTTGGAGAAACAGTGAACCTCCAAGGAGAAGATCTGTGTGAGATGAAGGAAGCCCTCAGTGTGTCTGGGCTGATTCTCAGGATAGTCTAGACAGAGGGAAGGAAGAGGCAACAGCCATCAGAGAGAACAGCACAGTCAAGGCATGGAAGGGAAACAGGGTATGGTGTGGAAGAACAGTGATGTCACAGCTGCTCTTACCCTTTTCTTCCCCTCTTTAGGATCTTGGCTCTGGGGGTAGTGCTGGATGTTAAGTTGAGTCAGGAGTGGGATGAAAGAGAACCCAGTGGGAAAGCTTAATGAGCTGGGAAAGATTAATGGGCAGGCAAGAAGATGAAGCAGGCTGGAAGAACCAGTAGGTACTGGCAAGAGAAGAGGTAGGGGTAGGCTCAGGAAATGAGTTAAGAGAACCTCAGACGGGAGCCACACAGTGGACAGACCCAGGAAGGGCCAGCTGCTGCGAGGGCCAGCTGCTGCTATTTCCCCTCCACCATCTTTTGGATCCCAGTGTCTTTTCAGGTCAGTGAGGAGCCACTGAAGCCCCAGGTGGCCCAGAGTATAGCCATTCCTCAGTTCCCAGGGCCCAGGAGCATGGCTCTGTCATCTGACAGTCAAACTAGCAGGGCACACAGGGGTCATTTCCTTCCAAATACCGTCTCACCCTCTCCTCTCCAGATCTGCAGGTGCTGGGCGGGGAAGGTGGATAGATAGAGCTGTCAGGGAAAGGAACACAGTCTCTTGAGCGGGCAGGGAATCTTGAAGTGCAGCCATCACTCATATGTCCACATAGTGTCTAAGCATCATTGCCTTATCTGTCTCTCATTTCCCTGATGGCTGATTGAGTTGTAAGGTCATGGCTACAATGTGCTTGATCCACAATGCTTCTCTTGTAGGAAAAAGGTAATGACACCACCACATTATTAATGAAGCACTTAAGATAGTTTTTGTCTTGTTATGTCAGACACACACAAGCACACGCGCATGTGCGTGTGCACACAGCCCAAACCTAATCCCCATTCTGGCTTAGTTCTATTTTGATAGATCAACAGGTCATCAAGGTGAGAGGTCAGCTTTTGCCACCAAGACAATTGACAGGGGAAAGCTGACTTTTTGCTTGAGTCTCTTCTATCTTTTTAGGAACGTCAGACTGATGTTATTGTAGAACTTGACAGGATTTCAGAGGACAGTGTTTCCAACAGCCTCTGAAGATGATCACTCTTTTCTTCAGATATTGCACATTGAGGGTGAATCCTTCCACAGTTAACTTCTAACACTCACTGATTTCAAAGTGCCCAAGGTTAAAAACACAAGTTTGCCAGTAATGCTGACAGTCCTTTCTCCAAGTTTGAGGTGCAAGCCTACCAGGTGAGAGGTGTAGTGTTTCTGACTCTAGAGATGAGATATAACAGCTCCCTTAGTTTCTCTCTTCACAATTCAATTTAGGGCCTAGGAATGGGGGGTGGGTGGAAGGGCATGTCTTGGCATAGAAATGGGGAGAAGAGGAAAAGGAGGGAAGGAAAGAGGAGATAGGGAGTAGGGTTGGAGGAGAAAGGGGGTAGGAAGAGGAGATGAAGGGCAGTCAAAAGGAGAATGATGGGAAGAAAGGAGGGAAGGGGATTCCTGCACTTAAGTCTACCTTCGCCCTATAGCCCTCCACACCTGGCTCTTGGGTCCCCTCTGTGGTATTCCAGAAGGCACCTGTGTTCCCTTCTTTCTATCTACCTCTCAGGAATAGCTCGCATTCATAGCTCACAAAGCTATGTTTGGCTCTTGACTTGGCTTCTGATCATGTCTGGAGCCAAGGGACTGATGCTAATCTTTTCAGGACAGTATCAAGTAAACACTTTATCAGAAGAAAAGTTGTTTGTTCCTTACCTTGTATTTGACTTCATGACTATTATCCTTGAATGAAAAGTTGTTTCCTGCTTGGAGAAAATGAGGTACATCCTTGGAGTAGACTGTCCTTCAACTTTCTGTTATAGCAAGTGGCACTCAACTTAATAATTATTTGTTTAGGTTATTATTCCCCAACTAAAGCTATTCATTTTAAAAAAAATTGTATTTATTTTTGCATCAGAACTGCTATTCACTTTTTTAGAGGAAAGACTGGGTTTTATTCATTATTGTATCTCCAACGCAGTAAAGTTTGTATTGAGCTGCTTATGTTCAGAGTCTTTTTGGTTGTGTAGCAACAGATAGGGTGAGAATACACCGATAAAATTATAAAATGTAAGGAAAAGTGCATTTTAAGAGTATGATTTCTTAAAGCTGGTGAAACAACATAGAGAAAACACATTATCTGTCCCTAGGAGACCCACTGCACTGGTGTGCCAGGCAGGGCCCAAGCTAGATTGTGGATGCATGACACCAGCCAGAGATGGAGTTTGTGCTGTTGAGACTAGGGGCATGGCTGAGGCAGAACTGACCTGCGCGAGGCATGCACCTGGTCCTGTGACCCCTGCACAGACTCCACCAGCTGGTCTGCTGGCCAGTGCCAGGAGGAAGGCTCAGCAACCCAGCCAGATCATGAAGGATCATGCAAGCCAAGTAGTGAATGCTGGGAGGACAGCCATAAGGACCCACTGGAAGACTTCAGGCAGAGCAGGGACAAAGGGAAGCCATTCTGGGAAGGTTTGTTGTGTGGGGTAGTAGGAAGGTGAATTTAAGGGAGTATATTTGTGTCAGGCAAACCAATTTAGGCAATACTATCAAGAAAAATACTATCAAGTTTAGTAAAATTAGTTGGTCTTTCTTGTGATTTGCAAAGGTATACTCCTTTATAGAAACTACCATCTTTGCATCTTATAGATGAAAGTTTTGGAACTTACTAATTCAACCAGTAGGATGAAAGTTACCTAAGGAAGCCTGGATGGATATTTTGGTAATTTCTTAATTGTTGAAGCCAGCAGACACCAGAACTCTACAACCTCCTGAAATAGGACCAGAGATTGGAGCTCATAAGCAGGGAACATTCCCTAGATCTGCCCTTTTCTTACTAGTACTGGAACAGGGCTGTGGGTGAAGCTAGGGGGAACTACACTTTGACAGTTATGGATCAGAGCAGGACACTGCTCACTTTTTCTATAAAGGGCCAGATACTATTTTAGATTTTGAGTGTTGTACAGTCTCTGTTGCAGCTGCTGAAAGGTTTTGCTGATATGATGTAAAAGCAACCACTGTCAACAAATGAGCATGACTGTGTTATATATAATAAAGCTTTATTTTAGTTTGTAATTTCCACATCTCATTAAATAGTATTCTTCACTTGATTCTTTTTTCCAATTACTTAAAAATATAAAACCAAGGCCCTCCCCGGTGACGCAGCGGGTTAAAGCACAGCACCGAGAAGCTAAAGACACTTGAGCATGAGTTCGATCCCCAGATAAGGAGGTGACCCACATGGCACGACAGACCTCTCCTGACCTGCCCGCTGCTCCCCTCAGCGGTGTATTCGTCAATCTGCTTCTTCTGCTCGCCACCCTGTCTCTGGTGAATCTTCTCACCCACCACTCCTCTGGCCTATACCCCAGTTCTGTATGCATAAATAAATAAATATTTTAAAATATATATAAAACCTGTTCATAAGGCACACAAAATTATTTGTATCTTGGGATGGCGGCAGTTTCAAGACCCCTTGATTAGAGTCCCTGCCTCTTACTATCTGTACTTCCTCGGCCAGGTCACCTAACCTCCGCGGTTTCTGTGTCACTGTCCTAAAATCGCCACGCGGTTCAGAAACCCCAAGCGTTGAAGAACGATGCAAGCCGGGTGCTGCTACACCAACCGCTGCTCAAAGCGGCCGCGGGGTTTCCCAGCCCGCTTCCCCCGCAGCAGGGACGCGCAGGCGCGCGCCGCGGAAGAGGGCGGGGCCGGGGCGCGAG